CTGAATATTTCCTTTTTGCACTCTGATACAAGATATTGTAGTGTCAGGGAAATAGTTGGATTGAATAAGACTTCCTGGGGAACCTCATAGGTTTTGGAATCGGAATCTGCTGTTTTCCCTGTGGCAGCTAATGCAGCGCTACATAAATTCCCGAAGGCAAGCTACCTGGGGCAAGGTAACATCTGTGGAGGCAGTGCTAGAGAGAGGTGTCTGAAGTTGTGCTTCTCTCCAGCTGAGCTTGCCCACAATTCACTACAGACATTGGTATTACATGCCTTTACATTGACAGCACAGTCATGTTAGCATGCTGGCAAATTAGCAAACCTGCATGACTTAGATGACTGCCAAGTTGATTCATTGGATCCAATTTCCTTAAATTAAGTCTCCTGGTTCCCAAATGGAATTACGAAAAAAAATGACATCTCTCTCTCTCTCTCTCTCTCTCTCTCCTGACACACACACATACTAGATGCAGCACACACACACACACACACACAAACACGCACACTGTATATGTAAATAACAATCATTATCATTAGAATAATAATACTATTAAATACCCCATCAACTTCAATTCCAAAGCTTAATAAATGAAAATCAATTATTATCATTTTTCGAAACTTGGTGAACATCTGTCTTTGACATGTCATACAGCTCAATCAGTAATTGAGTGACCATTCAATCTCTATTCAAATATAAACCCATATGCACTCAGTCATCTTCCACGTGTATTGAAAATTATACCAAACTAGTAGAGTTTTTGTTTTAGATTTCAAAGCAAAGAAATTTGTTGATGAATAATAAAATTGTTATCATTTAAAGAAATGCTGTCTTCTTTGTAATATAAGCTAAAAAACACAAGCACAAGTGGAAATGGGGGAAGAAGTATATATGTGTAAAAAATATCCATAAAAGTCTACGATTTTTCTCTAAATAATTTTGTTTCTTTTTTGCACTGAAACAAGAATTGGACTTCCCATTTGCTGTCTTCTTTGTATTATAAGCTAAAAAACACAAGCACAAGTGGAAATGGGGGAAGAAGTATATATGTGTAAAAAATATCCATAAAAGTCTACAATTTTTCTCTAAATAATTTTGTTTCTTTTTTGCACTGAAACAAGAATTGGACTTCCCATTTCTTAAGCCTCTAGTGGGCAATGGCAGGTTTTGATAAACAAAACCGATAAACTTTCTTTTTTTATTTTGCAATGTGGAAGGGTTTCATCGCTACTTATTCTATTAGCAGCATTTCTGTTTCTAACCCAAAGGTGTGTGATATGAGAGACAGAAAACTATATTCCATACTACATGTACCTCAGCTGAAAAAGGTTTTCTTCTATTATTCAGGTGATGTATCCTGTTGATAACACCTCCACTTACACCAAGAAATGAACCTGTACTTTATGGTTCAGATATAATGTACAAGCCATACTTTAACATTCACTGGAACCACATGGCCAAGATTTCTATAAAGTACTTTTCTGACAGTAGACTTCCAATGTCATAGTTCCAGTAGTTTGGGCAGGTGCTTTCTGGGGGATTATAATCAAGCTGGTTTGTTTACCTGCTGACCATAGGCTATTCCACATATGCCCCTAACTATCAGCAACTACTTAACATAGTGAAGCTTTGGAATCATTTAACTCTTCACTGTTTTATCATTTTCTATCCTTTTACATAGAAAAGGCGGACCACAAGTCTAGTCCAAAAACAACTACATGGATCAAGACAAACAAATGTGTATTAGTACTGTACATCTACCATCAAGTTTCATTCTTAAAATGAGCAATGAGTAATACTCCACATAAAAAGAGATAACCACACAGACACATAAAGCAGTCTTTTACTTTTCAAAGATTTTCTCATACCTAGAAAAATTGGACTGATTTAATGAGAGGATGGCATTTCTAATTCAAAGACCAGAAACTAATTATCTTTTTTTTTTCTTTTATAAAAGTGTAAGGCATGACCACTATTTACATGTTGTAACATCATTATATGAAGGTAGTTTCATGCTTAATAACTGTGCACAATGTGTAGGTGAAATCTGTTTTGTGTCGTTAGCGTGCATGTACATGTGACATGCAGCTATAGAAGGGTGACCAGTTTTGATCTGGGACAGGGTCACCAGGGTCAGAGTAATTATGTATAAACACAAATGTTTATGTAATGATGATCTCAAGTGTCATTCAGTACAAATGTACCTTATATAAATTATGAGTATTTGATCCTCTGTCATGGTTATATGCAGATGTGATTTAAAGTTGTATAATAAGCAAGCCAAATTATTGTCATTAAACCAGGTTTGGTATTCTTAGTAATTCTATTCTTTCTCTGTGTCACAATGACCTGGAGGGATAGATATGTAAGTCAAGTTTACTACCAGAAAATTAAAGGTAAAATTTCAAAACCTTTATTATTAAGCTGACCAAATGATTACTTTGACTAATTTTTTTTTTTGGAAAGTGGATTATATTTGAGTTGTGTTAAAACTTGTAGTAGTAATTTTTATATGTTAGAATGTACACAGCTTTACTAGATCTTGCTTGTTATGTATCTTTAGATATTAACACTAGTGAACCGCAGCTATCACTAAGAAAAGATGCAACTGACCCTCACTTTCTTATGAAGTAGACAAAATTTCATGCACCCCTGCATTTCTTTCCAACCATTCATTTCATTAATTTGATCAAATACCATGCTTCTGTACTTCTAAATTATTTAACCAGCAAACATGTGTTATTCTGATTAAGAAAAAGAATGATTCACCTTTAACATATATCATTTTCCCACTTCTAGACAAGATGTTTTTACATAATGAATTATACTCTAGACAGCCAAGTATAAAGACCCTTCTAGCTATTTTAAGCAATCAGTTGCATTTATAAGGATTTCCTACATATATTTTTCATTAACATTAAATAATCTCTTATTAAACCCTGTCAACTATCATTACAAATGTTTTTGCTGAAAACCGTATGCATTTAGAAAAGAAATGTGAACCTGATTTCAATTGCAGCTTGGAATTACGATTTTGTTTAATGAAAATACAGTACATGTTAACACCTACTATGCTCCATTTTTTGTTCAGTCTAGGATTACTCAATTTTTAAAAATTCAGAGACTACATGCATTTCTCAAATTTTTGCATCTTAAAGAAAACAGAGCAATATATATGTATTTAATATCCCAAATGAAAAAAAAAAAAAAAAAAACAATTCTAGAAGGGGCTCTTTTAACATTGGCTGAATAGATCCAGATGTGCGGTACCTGCTCAAAGACATTTAAGCTACAGTGTGGAAGTTTGATGATATTCGGATTAACATTTCCGGTAAGGTGTAGGTCATTTTTCATTCCAGGAAATTACCACAGACTTCATGGAGTTCAGCAATCATATAACTAAGCTGAGTTCACATTGTTATAACTTAAATGCAAAAGTCTAACTGATGTCAGCAGATTCCCAGATTACATGATTCCCCCCCCCCCCACACACACACACACACACACACACAATGCAAATTAGGGATTTGAAATTTAAAATATGACTGCTTACTAACATCAGATGGACTACACCATGGCTACCTTCATCTTGATAATAACAAGGTCTAACTCTACCTACATCCATATGTATAGAATTGCCGTGTTCTGTATATCAAGAACTTATCTTTTTCTGGATATAATTTTTACTATGATTTCTCTAGCTAAGGCTTAAAAACTATTAATCTATACCTATATTCTCTGATAATAATAAGAAGAAGGAGAAAAAGAAGAACAACAACACACCCATAATATTTAAGTAAGGCTTTCAGATGGCATGCATTATTCCTAATAATTTTTTGTTTTCCTTGATTGAAATGAACTGCTCTTTGTTTTGGGGTTGTTCTTTAATTTTCCTCCTTCAATCTCTCAATGTTTTCTAAATGGCATATTATATCTTTTTAAAATAGGAAAATAACTACAATAACACATCTAATATATATATATATATATGCATGATGCCATGAGTTTGGCTTTAACCAAATTACCATAAAGGTCTTAGAAAACAATCTTTAGGAAACTTTGGACTTGGCAGGTAAATACTGGTACGAAAAAGTTGGATGACATAGCAATTGAAGACCTTATTAAAGTTTAATTTAGCAATATTTTGTTTGACATACAATAATCAGTATCTTTATCAGTTTTCAACCTAATAATTATCTAACCTTTATTGATATTTATGCTGGTAAAATGACACTGATAAAGTGCCTAATTATCATCCTACAAGAAGTTACGCATAATGAAATAAGCAGCTTACTACTATTACAGGTTGAAAGCATACTTTCTGAGGTAAATGTCTACAGATATGAGCATGATCAAAGGTACATTGTAGAAGTACTCATCATTTTTGCCCCTTTGTGTCAGAGAGTGTTAACATCATAACTTTGCCCTCACCAGGTAGCAGGTGGCCACATGTTAGGATAACACAAAAATAGTACATTTATTTCTATACTTGGTTGGGTGGGTGGGGAGGGGGAGGGACATGGTTACTATACAAAAACCTATACTGTAAGATTTTCATATGTGACTTCATCCCCTGGATGACACAAAATGAAAGTATCGTGCAATATTAAACATTAAATTTGCCAGTCAAATACCATATCCATGTTCAACATAACTGCAGAAATCAGAATCAGTGTTCTTATAAATGATATGCAATAATGAAAGCCACACAGTACAAAAACTGGAAAAAGAACTGTCAATTTTCATACCTGAAATTAAGGTTACAAAAGAAAACCAACCATTATAAAAACTTACACCAAAAAGGAGTAAGGAAACCACTTTTAATTGAAAAGACAAGGTAAAAAGTAATTCAATTGAATCAATATAATTAAGGTATACTATTTAAAATATATTTTTTATTTACATATGATAAAGAACTCTTGTGGTTCTAATTATTATAAATTTGGCCGAAAGAAAAGAAAAGAAACATTATTATAATAAATGAGAAGGCAGATCTCTACCTGTTTTACTGGGCTGCTCTGGAAATTCAAGGCACATATCATTTCTGGGAGTGCCAGGGGTATTCTGGTTAGTCTCTCCTGGAAGGCAGTGAAGAGTTTTGCAGCTTTTTCCCTGTACTCAGACTTGTTGAGATACTCAGCAAGGCGCAGCAAGTTACCCCCGGACACAGAGTTGGCACTGGGCTCAGCACCATCTTGATCTACAAAGTATGAACATTTATCATTAAGTATTTCCTTTCTTTTTCATTTGATAAAAAATAATTTCATTTTCTTATTTTGAGATTATGAAATATCAATCAGTAGAACATATTTTATACATGCTCTTAGACTTTACAATTATCTCCACATAATGTATGCACTATTTTCTAAACACATAACCCTTTTATGCAATTAATAAAGAAGTCTTAAGCAAGTTAAAACAAACACAGTATTGAACAAGGGTAAAGAAATTTCATATACTGTAGCTAATGACATACTGAAGTGATATCTGAATTTCAAAGTGTAATATATTCTCCACAAGTCAAAGTGATATACACGAGTACGAGCACATGTGCACGTCACATACACCTTGTTTACGAGTCGTGTATCTGATTGATATAATGGTACATGTCAAGCACAAAAGAACCACTCTTGAAGAAGCTGTGATCATTTGCAGGACAAACCTGGTATGTGAGACACATAATGCAAGGGCCTTTTGTTTTCATCACTCAAAGATGAAACTGAAAACCTAGCTTTGGTACAGGTGACTATACAATATCAACAAAACAACACATATCTTGAAAGTGTTTTTTGTGACGATACAAACTGCTTACATAAAATCACTGTTGCTACCATTTTGACAATTAATAAATTACACCTTGCAATTTATTAGTTTCTTTAATTTGACAAAACATGCCCAATAATTACCAAAATGCATCAGTGTATTCACCCAAATATTCCTACAAGCAAATATGGCACTGAGAATTCGAAGCTGTTGCATGCAATTCCAGATCGAAGCATGTATGGTTTGGCCCCGTCAGCAACTTGGTTCTGTGACTACACAATAGCATTTGCACATTAATTCTCATGAAAAAAAGTAGAGAAGACAACAGCAATTGCCTCCAGGGTTACTGCCATGCCACTCAAGGATAGTTCAGAATTGATCACTGTCCTCGGAGAATTGTGGGCAATCTCACAAGTTGCGCATTCAGATCTACTTCAAACTGTGGCATGATAATAGTGCAGAAGAAAAAAAAAATATATAAATAAAATATATATACATATGTTTTGCAACTGTACGTTGTGGAAAATAAAGCTCTCAGAATAGTATTGTCATTTTTTGGTTATCTCAGGAATCATTCACAGCACACAAACTAGAGAAATACAAAAATTGTTCTTTGTCGCAAATTTTGATGGGTGAAGAAAACGGGTTACCGTCATTGCCATCGTTTCCTTTTTCAACTTCAATACAAAGTGTGATCTCCCATACATGTAAAATATACAAATAGTTCAATTTCAGGATTTAAATACCTGAAATACAGACTGCTTTTCATAAAACAACAATGTGTAAGGGAATCGTGTTATCTGAGCGTGTAATCACAGATGTTATGACCCTATCCTGTTTCGATTCCTTCAGAAACGCTCCTCAACGAAGCCACAACTGGTGTGTAGTTTCGTTTCTCCATTCCAATTCAGCCCAAGATCTAGTGCACATACTACAAATTTCTATTGATGATGTTATGACCTCTCATATTAATATTAAATGAGACTAATTAAATAAGCTATGTATCTGGTTCCAACTTTTTGACCTGTAAAGCACGAAGGACATAATGACATTGCTGTTAAACAGCCACTTCGGAATTGCAGCATGCTTTCCCAACTCTGTGAAGTTAAGTGTACTCTTCCCTGATAATTTTTGTATGTTTAATGTTATATTTTCCAAAATTTATTAATATTAAGCAAAATATGATGCATATTTTAAGTGAAAAGCATGCTCACAAGACCAGCGCCATGTTAAAATTTTGATACAATGTCCCATTGTGGTTACCCAGTATTGTGGATGTGCACATATAATGGTGAAATAAACTTTATTACTATATTAGGTCAGGAGAATCACATTACTGGGTTAGGTAAGAATAAGTGTTTGGCTACAACACCAGACAGCAGAATTCAAACTTATGTTTCAAGCGAATAAAATTAAGGCAAAATTATGTTTCCATTTCATAAATAATAAGTTTATTGAGAACAAAATATATAACTATTAAATCATTACACCTAAAGACACTGTATTCTGTAAAAATTTCTAGATATTCTACACCATCAAGATGTCCTGGTAAACCACACCAGACAATATGACTGGTTGTCTACCAACCTGGTACTCTAAAGGTGTCAATTACCCCCTCTGTTATAAGTTTTTCCTTGCCACTTGGATGGCAGTTTATTTCCAGGATGACCATCATTGTTGTTATTCATTCATAACTTTTTGTCATCTCAGTCACTGTGCTAACTAGTGACAAGCAGACATCCCTATATTACTTGCGTCAAATGTTTACATTTGCGGAAATCTATTGTTTTTTGTGTCCATTTCTTATTTCAGTTAATCAAAGCACTATTAGGTATGTGTATAGAAGTGTTGAACAGTTTCATTTGCAATGTGTTTTCAATACCTAAATAGAGTTTCATTTGTCAAAAGCTCTAGAAAAATTGACTGAAATTTACCAGCCAATATTTAGTCTACTGATGTCATCTAGACTTCATCAGAGAAATAAGGGCTGAGACAGATATTACCTGTGATCACATAGATTGGCAATGAGTCACGAGCATGAAAAAGTCCTTAAAACATGCTTTCTATAAAAAAAACAAGAATAAAATTCCTGACATGAAGGTCATGTAGACTACAGTAGTAGACATGCACCACCCACATTGTTCATTCTTTATGCTCTGTGAACAGGAAACCAGAAGCAAATTATAGGTATCTGTCTGTTTACTCTTCTTTGTGATATTTATGAAACCATTTGTGCTGCAAGTCACAGCAAAAGATTAACAAGAGTTCAAATCCTGTGAAAAAATATCCTTAAAGTTACATGTGAAGCGAACATGGATTTCCTATAAACCATACAAAACACTTCTACTAGTTTCTTATATAAATGAAATAAAGTAGACATGCCAAGGGATAAACCAAATTAATCATCTGATCAGCCATAAAACTGGGGCTGATAAAAGAACTCCACCTTCTTCAAATTTCTGGTTGTAAAATTGACCTACTAATTTGTCCCAGTTCCCCAAAGTCCGCCAAACTGGCCAAATGACATAGTTGGGTATTGCACATTACTGCTGCGCGTTCAATAGCACAATTTTTCAAATGAGTTGCCAAAAACCACAAATTGTTATATATAGCACAGAAAGAAAGCTGAAAATGTCCATTCACGTAATATTTTTCAGGATATATGAAACAATGCGTATATATTCTTTTTGAAACTATTTGGTGGCATTGGTTGGGTTTAATGGCAAAAAATTTGAGTTCAAATGCATCTTTAACAGAGCAATTTCATATTATTGATATTATGACCATGATGTGCTAAAATGATTTTTTTTCTATTTTTACTGCACTAGCTGCCATTAAAGGCTTAAACCTTTAAAAAAACTTGATTGACAGAATAACTTCAATAACACAGTTATGAACTTTTTTCTGGTAGAGCACTTCATCAAAACATAAAATACCATTTATTTTATCAATTATATTTATTTTATCAATTATATTTATATCTAAATTGAATAAAATACAGGTTTAGAAATTTAAGTTCCCATTTGTTTTTCAACAGTAATCTATTGAAAAAAGTTTACACCAATCTCTACCCTAACACTTTGGAAGAGTTTAGATATGTGTTTTTACTGTGAACACATGCAGACATAAAGCAGACCTGAAATTGATTACTGACCCCCCTCTAGTTCTGCTTTGCCAGAGGGGGTATAAGACTCCAGGGATAAGAACAGCTGCTGAATACCCAGGTGTACAACAATATCGTTAGGATCATCATCTGTGAAAGGTTTCACTAAAGTTCACTGAATACTGCAATATTATATTCCACACTTCATGGCAGAATAGAAGGGCATCATGTAGGAGGATCATTTTTTCTTTTCAGAAAACTCTAGAGGAAAGAGAAATTAGTCAAATAAAAGAATATCAGCATGGTTTCATTTAAAATTGATTAAAAACTTTTTGTGCAGTATCCCCTCCCCTTCATTGGGTTTGGGTACAACAAGCCAAATTTCTTAACCAGGTAAACAGTTTAATTATCATTATTTGAGAGAAAATCATCTGTCACGATAGTCTTTATTTTCCTATAATTTAAACACATGAAACCCATTAGCACACAAGAATACAATGATGGAAACCAGCAGCTCTATTGCCTTTATTTTCATTTCATCATTTATTCCACCTACACATAACATTTGGGGAAAATCACTCTGTAAGGATGTGTACCGAGTAACTCCTTTGTCTTCTATTTGTTCATATGTTTTGGTAATCTGTCAGAAGACAGGGACAATGCCGCAAAAATGCCCTTCTGTATTCACAGCTCTGCCACAATACTTGGCCTAAGGAAAAGTTCAGCGAGGCTGCCGCAACTACTGGAACTAATGGAAATGGCATGTCAATATCGTAAACAGCCCAATACATACCAAGAAAATCTTGTTTTTCTAACAAGACTTTAGGGTTAATCAAAATTATGTGTTCAAGTTTCTGTATTATGCCACGTGCTGATGTTCTGACTTTAAGGATAACTTGACTTTCTAAATAGAAGGCATAGGAAAAAATGTTGTTCATCATTTATGATTATTTTTCATACCATGAATGAATGGAAATATACAAGGAAGAAATCATATGTTAAAAATAAAATTCCATATGCATTAGATTATGAGTCACAAAGCATGAGGTACAATTAAAGCCTGCAGAAAAAAATAAGCCCTGAATCATAAGTAAAAATTGGTTGATTAGAGCACATTTTTATGTAATGAAAACAAAAATACCAGGAAGATAGGTTATTTTTAGTAATGAGAGAATTGTTGTTCTTACAAACACACAAAACAATTCATTTTAAAACCACGTCTATGTACAAACAAGGCAGCAAAGCTGCCAAATGTACAGACAAAAAGCAGAAAATCACGATGCTCAAAAAAGGTTATTTTGTCTATTTTGATGCAATAATACATTGTGCTTAAC